CCACTCACCGCTGCCCCGTGCTCGCGCCGAGTGCCAAACGCCCGTGTGTCCTGCCCGGGTCCGAGCCCTCGCGACGCGTCTCCAGAGCCCGAGGCCTGGCAGCGCCAAGGGCCCTTTCTCGCGTTAGGGAAAATGGGGCCGGAGGCCACGCGCCCGAGGGCCCAGCTCGCTTGCCGCCGGTGCCGCCACGCCGGCGCTCTATGAGAAGCCGCAATGCCGCGGCTTGGTGCTTCTTCCAGGATTTTTTTGTAAAATGTTCTCCTTCCCCGCCACGTCGCGTGGTCTGGTTCTGGGCCCACTCCGTGTGGTGCGGACCCAGGGGGATGTGAGCGGCTCGGGGGCGGCAGGGCTGGCCACGGCCCGGGGCGGGGCCGGCCCACGCAAGAGCTGCCCCCTCACGGCCCGACGGCACGCCCGGGAGCAGGCCGCACGACACAGGCCGCAGAGTGGGGAGGAAACTGGGGGGGAAGGCTCGGCGTTGAGGCCATGGGGCCCAGGGACGGGGCGCTGGCGGGCAGGGCTGGCCGGATGCCAGGCAGCACGGAGGCCCCGCCCCGCCCCGTCCGACCTGCTGCCGTGCTCTGTCTCTGCCCCAGCAGCACACCGGACACGCACGTGCGGCTGCTGTCAGACATGTGAGTCCCGCCCGCCAGCTCCTGGGGTCTCGCCCTGCGCCCCCCGCCCCGGGCACCAGCGCCGGGCCTCCCGGGCCCCCTGCCTGCGCGCCCACGCGTTGATCTCAGTCTTTGCTGCGCTCCGGCCCCCGGTGGGCGCCCGGGGCTGATCAAAGCAAGCAGGGCCCGTCCTGCACCCTGCGCCGAGGCTGGAGCGGCGGTCACTGTCGGACAGCGTCCTGGCCACGACGCTGGGGGTGGCGGGCACCGCACGGGGTACTCTGGGCCTCCTCAGTGGCCCTCTGGCGGCGTGGGCGCTGTCCAGTGGACCCAGTGGACGGGGGACCTCCTAGAGGTCCCCCGAGAGACTGAAGCGGAAACAGACCAGCAGTAGCGGACACTTGCCAGCGGGAGACGGCTGCCCCTTCCCTTTCAGGCTTAAGGCCGCGCTCCGCAAACTCCGGAAGAGGTAAGCAAGCCCGGGAAGTGTCCCTCCCGCCGGGGCCCGAGAACACGAGGAAAGCGTAACGTGATCGGCGGTGCTGCTGCCCGGGCCGGCTCTGCCGTGTCCGTCCCGCGCGGGGCCGGTTCCCGCTCAGGCTCCGGCCGTCCCGCCCTGCGGCGGCGTCTCACCGTGCCCTGCGTTTGGTTTTAGCTCGGGACCCGGAGGGGAAAAGGCAGGCCGGGGCTCTGTGGACAGAGCGGACAGCCGGGGCTCTGTGGACACAGCGGACAGCCGGGCCTCTGTGGACACAGCGGACAGCCGGGCCTCTGTGGACAGAGCGGACAGCCGGG